GTAAGGAAACCGTACGACGGTTCCAAAAGCAAGAACAAAACGCAACGTACGTTCACCAGTTTTTCAGCAAAATCAGTGGAGTGGAAATTGAAGAGTGTCACTGAACAATCTGAAAGTGACGTTTTCAGCTGGGATCGACCGTGAAGAAATCCTCGAATGAGCGCTGTAAAAGGAAAAATCATGAAATGCGAAACAAATAGAACGCTACAACAAATACAACCATAGAACTGAATATCTAAATGATCCGGCTGCCAAGAAATTACGGCGCACCCACTTGGCGCCTAACGACTAGTCTCAATTCGCCCTGTCCCACTAGGACTCCATCAGAGATTCCACACGACGGTGTCATCGTCGAACAGGGTTGGGGGCAACGCCTCGCCATGGCCATCAAAGTCGGGAACTTGCTGGAACTTCACCGGTTGAATGCACGGTGCTTCAAGATTACGGACGCCGAAAACCTCGTAGAGCGAAGGGTATTCTTTACTTCTTACTACTATTACTTTTTCGAGCCCAAAGAATTGTCCCGGTGCATTTTTGTGACCTGCGTCATTACTGGGGTATGACTGAATATCTTCAAGGTAGCAAGAGTTCATCTGAAACGACTAAGACCCATTCGCGTGCGCGAGGCAGATTCCGCAAAGGACATAGACAAATCTTCTGTGGTTCCCGCAAGGATTGTAAGATCACCAAACTATACTGGGAGCATTGCCGAACTACAGCAGGGAAAAAGATCAGCTTTTCTACGGATATTTGGAAATCCATTTTCGATATGATCGCAATCCGCAACGGTTCATCAGAAGTCGAGATCAGCCGGAAATTCCAGAATTATCGGTGTGGTAAACGCTCAAATTCACTCTACTAGAGGGCGAGGATAGCGGCGCTAATCCCTGTCCAGCCGTCAGCCACGCACTGCTCGGCACAAGCCGCGCGTGCACTGCCGGTGAGTTTTTCTCTCTCCTCTCTCCCCAGGATGTTAGACTGCGTTCATACTTCGCGAAAGGAACAAAGGAGAATCGACGATACTCCTATGTTTCTTTCGCAAAGTATAAGCAGGCTTACAGAGGACTTTTTGGAGAAAATTACTGTCTCCCATCACGCTCTGGAAGACATAATTTGTCGCTGCAGGCATGAAGTGAGAAATTTCGAACTCAGGGCTGCACGTGCCTCTCTGAGATTCATTTTCCATGGTTTTCAGTTTGAACAGTTCCAGAGCAGCCTTGGGTTCAGACGTACGACCTATAGAATTCCCAAGTAGCTCTGTACAGTAACTTCCTGGCAACCAGTACTTTGATAAAGTCAATCGACATACTGAGAGCCCGTTTAGTCGGAGCACATCCGCTCTTCTTAGCCGTTGCCACTTCGTCGGCGTGTATGTAGAGGTCTTTCTTTGATAAAACCTTTGGAAGTACGTCATCGCTGAGAGGCACGATCTCTTCGATCTGAGACGACGATTCAAAATCCGGAGAAAATAGCTCGTATTGGGTCACGGATGGGAACAATGCATGCGACTGAAACTACACGAAATCACGCACAAACACAACAGAAACCGTAAAACTGCTTTTTCTACATCGTCTCTGAATATAATAGCAAAACCAAGGCTCACAGCTGCACTCGAATGGGAATCGATACTACATCTAGCTTACCTCATTCACTGAAGATTTGTTTTGCAGGGATTGATCTACACGGCAACAATAGCTTCTAACTAGATATCGAATGCTCATCAAACACAAGACACTAAGAAAACCACAGCTCCTAAATTATCAAATTAACTGATGCTGTTCTTGGGAAAACTGGTCGACAAATGCAGAAATATCAGAGGCTTTCTGGACCTTGGGAGCCATAATGAAGGTGTAATATAATACGTTGTTAGCGAGATCATCGTAATAACAAGAAGAATGTATCACAACAATCAAAAACGGATCATATTACCGACGAATTTAGGCGAAAATACAAAACTTCGAAGTATGTTCAACCTTACAAGGAAGTTCAAACCAGTTCAAAAAGTTGATTCGAAAATTGTACTTCATGACTACACCAAATTCATAACTAATAACAGTGTTCCCGTGACTTTATACCCCGTGGAATAACACTTAACACAAAATTTGTAGGTATGAGGTTACAGCATCCAGAAGCATCATTCTGTGTTCCTTCGGCGATTGAATATTCGTGCTCATTCCTTCTGCATCCAGCGTAATAGCCGAGTTGATTGAATCTATTCGTACTATTTTTCGCTCACCGTCTGGGTGATTAACCACACGTCCGGAAAGATTTCTCTTAAATAAAAATAGGCAGTTCAAGAACAGTACAGATGTGGGTGAACTGCACTGTAAGTCCAAAAGAAAAACCTTCTGTAGAGCTTTCAATATTATGTCCGGAGTGAGTTGCCCAGCATACTTAGGTCGGAGTGCACCAACTTTCTTCTTGGCCGGCTGAATGAGCGAATGAATCAAGAGCCTCTTAGTTCTGAGTACAATGAAACCGACTGATCGCAATAACTTATGGGTGGGTAACTTATGGGTAATCCTTTCCCAGCAGGTCCGCAAAAGGCACTTTATCACTCTGAAAGGCATTAAGAGCTTGTAGAACCCGCTACTATTCGGCTGTGCCCTCACACCGAGGTGGTTTCTGATGAATTTGGATGATACAGGCATGCCGACAACGAAGTTACTCCATCACGCAGAAATTTGAACACTCAGCGGTTTTACAAACAAGCCTGTCATCTTCGCCTTATGAGATACTTTCCAGTGGGAGGTTCATGCAGTTCTGTTGAAGAAATTGTTTATACTCAAAATTGGCTTCTTTGTGAACATTTTGGAATCTGTTCCTAAATGGTTTCAAACCGATGGTGAGAAGCACAGCCGACTGGCTCGGCCGATAAAACGGTGGGTAAAGCCGCTGCAGGGTACGAGACCAATCTATCGGATGACACTACGCCCCGTGACCTTTCGAGTGGCGATGAGTACCTTGCGATAGCGGACCTGTCGACCATGTACAAAGGCAACATTCAGCCTATGGAGAAGTTGCGAAATATGCCTTATATTAAATAGAACAAAACAAAAGACGCACCAGTAGTTCATAAGCACCGTCGTAGGCGCAGAGAAAACCTGTAAGAGAACTGATGCCAATTTCGGGATTAGCGTAGTGGCCGCGAAGTTCGAGTCGTTTTATGACCTGATGAATGATTGCATGAAGTAGGTGTCACTAGAATAAAAATAAAGAACATCTCACATCGGGACTTATTTTTATCTTTCTTTTCCTCATCTTCTTTGACGGCAGGGAAATCGATATCTGTTCGTCGTATTTCATTGGTGTGGTAGAGTTCTGCAAAAATTGAAGCTCATCATTATAAGTTGACATAACATACCAAATGCAGAGGCTACACTTACATACTGAACTACAAACTCAATTCGATTGTGGGACGGAGACTTCGAGTTGTGAGACAAAGAGTAAGCCTCCGGAATGATTAGGATCTGAAATTCCTGATTAAAAGGACGAAAATCCAAAGGACAATGAAATAATACAAGAAAGGGCTACCCTAAGCGCCTTATTAACCAGAACTTCTGTGAGTAGCACCTGAGTAATGGTGCCAACCAGCTGGTTGAAAAGGGTGATGAAAAACTCATCAAACGTCGGGCAACGCTAGCACAGAAAGCTAAGCGAATTGACGGCACTCTCGCTGACGTACAGCTCCGTCCAAAGAGAAAGCAGTGTCTCCATCTGAAGACTGGTTACCTCCCTTAGTCCACTGATTGCTCTATCCCAGTTCAAAGCTAACAGAAACGAAAGCTGAGTTCTACACTCATCATGGAAAAAATCCGCTTCTTTGATCGTGTCTGTCTATCAATCAACATTTCAACATACGCTTACCTTAGGCTTTAACTCTACTGGTAACAGGACGGTGTTCACGTGCGAAAACTCCAGCCGCGTTTCGATAGGGTAGTAGAACGCTCGAATTGCAAGATCTTCATAAGGAGCATATACTTCATTCAGTGGATAGTCAGGATCTGAACAGCACAAATATTTGCATTATAGGGCACAACAATAGTGTACCTGACTACCTACTCTGACAAGGAACTTCTGGGGCGTTGCATTGCTTTGATATCTCGTGATAGGCGGGGAAATTGGGAAATTTTTGAGAATTATCCTGCTCTATCACATAAGTTTTCAGGTCAGCAAGTAATTCTTTGGACTTCTTGAGTTGAGTCCCACTTGCAGAGGGACTGAATCCGACAATACGAGAGAAATGAGAACGACACAAGAAATAGAAGAACGGCGGAAAAGAGAGATGCAAAGAACGTCACACAAAAGTCACAGGATACAACGAACACAGCGCCATTTAGTCACTACATTTTTTTCAACTAGTATTACTACAATGGCAAGCATACTCTGCATGATAAAGGCTGCGTTCATACTTTCCGAAAGCATTTTGAGCATGAGCAGCGTGCATTGTTTTGGGCGACTACGGAAGTGTAGGTCCGGATCTAGCGTTCTCAGCGTACTTCAGAGTTCAACGAGTGCCCGCGAAAAGCTTAAAACTACCCATAAAACCCTCAGAACCTTATATCCATCTATATCTCGGTATGCTACGGTGGGCCTTCCGAGGTTTTTAGGTGGAACAAATTATTCTAGCGTTCTAAGGTTTCGACGTAATCGTCTTTTTCAGAGGTCCAACAGTGTAGTTTTAGATATGTGTACTATCCCACCAAGCGCCTAATCCACCCCATCATTCCCGATGACATGGTTTCAACCCAACCGAGAATCTCTGGATCTATATCTATATTTTACTAATCGTTCAGAACACTGCGTACGCTGACGTACACTGGATCGAGACCTATACTTCCCTGGTCGCTTAGAACATTCAAACGGCCGCCGTACGCTTGAAATGCTCAAAATGCTGCCGTACGTGCAGCACGCTAACATAATGTATGAGCGCACTCTAATTCTGATAAGCTAATAACAACTTACGACCAGGATGAAGAGGAATTTATAGAAGAGACATTTGCGGAGAAAAAAGTTGAAATAATTTCCATACTCGCTTACGAAATCCATCCGATCCAGTCTCATTTGAACTAGTGCCCCACACAACGCTTCTTTGACGCTTGCGATTATGAAATGGTTCAGCTGTCGAGTTCACAATGAGTACGCCATCGCAAACCGCGTCCGGCGCAGAGATGTTCGTCAGATGTCACAACGTGATTCTGTACGTTTTTAACTAGGGAAACTAAGCTCTAATGATACCAAACTCATCAAGAAGCGAAACAAGGTTGAATAATGGTGAAGCGACCATGATAGGCTATATCTCAACTGAAACCACAAAAATGATAAAGAAACATGCCAAAGGATGTAACCGCATCCTGGATCCCGCAAATTATGTTCTCTAAATACTCGCTCAAGCTTCTTCACTCGCCCACTTCGCTGTGTTATACAACATGCTGCCGTGCTGTTGACTGAATTCGAAAGCGCGAGGAAAAATCTTTATCAACCCGCTCAGAGAACCGTTCTGCAAACACGAGAGCAGGTTCGAAATCAGGTTCTGAGCTCGTACGGTCGCACACGTTATCCTCACGACTGGTCACCTCTACCTGTAGCCTTCCCTGCTGACAGAGAAAAGTTAAGGTCAAGGAGTTAAATATAATGTCTTTTACGTGAGATAATGCAAGACTACCAGAGGAAAATGGGATCTTCCCAATGGTATCAAAAATCCCAGGCATAAAAAAAAACTGAACTAACCAGTCATTATCAAAGCATTCTTCGAATCATTACCCCACATTTCCAACAAATGTGGCGCATCACCTATGCGAAGAGAAGGATGACCAGTTAGTACCTCAAAATGCGCTTTTCAGATAAGATTGAGCTGTACTATTCAACAAACAAAACTGATTACTTACCACACAAGGAGTTTTATACTCTCTGCAGAACGACTCGTAGATGTTGTCGTATAGTTTAAGTCTTCCATTGCGCACCAACTGAAAAATGCAAAGGAAGTCAGCACATATGTTTTTTCCACGCTTTCTTGAATCACTGAGAGGCAAAAAACCGTAGAGCATCTTCCTTAAGCCCAAAACAAACCAAGTGACATGGCTTGCACAAGTTATCGCTTCTTAAATGACATTTGATAAAAATAGAGATGACAAGACACAATGTACAACACATATCTATATAAGAAGAACACTTTCTTAAGAAGAAAAAGAATACAGTTCATCTCACAAACACAAGAAACTATTATTTTCGACTGGTGGCCCAAACTCGTTCAATCTCCTTTCTCGTGTTGTGTTCACCTATGAACCCCTGAACCAAATGAAACCAGGATTCAGCAATTCGGTGCGCAAGTGCGCCGCCTACACACCAACTATTAAATTTGACGCTCACCTTCCGACATACCCACTTATATTCGCAAAACGATTCAGATCGAGGAGCAACACCAAGATTCAACGAGACTGTCAAACGAACCGCGGTATGACAAAATGGTTCCTCCGGAACATACACAGCGTTTTGGCGTGATTCAGCGAGCCATTCAGCGTTGACATTCGAGTAGGCCAAAGCTCCTTTTGCGACTGGAGAAATGAAATATATCCGAGCTTCCAACGTAGCACCACCCTGAAAAACGAGAACACCTCCAGTGAGTTAATCATTTTCAAAGTCGACATGCAAGCAAAGAATGGAGCTGCTTGATGGTTATGTAGGCGATAGAAGCCGGTAAGTGCAAAAGAAAAAGTTATGTAAATTGAAGTACTCACCGCATTATCTATACTCCTAGAAACAACATCAATCAAGTCATAGATGGAACCAACAGGATTCACAGGCATCAACACATTGCCACCCCTTTTCAACGTGTCCATGACAGTTTGAGCTACTTCGATTATTGCACCCTGGAAATAAGGTCGTAATTTCTCAAATGTAAAAAGAATAAAGCTTCCTTCGCTGATATCTCTCATTTCGGGATGCGGCACGCATTCTTCTTCCTCTCAGTAGGTGGCTTATTGACTGCTATGTGGCTTTACAATGAGTTGCGGA